CCCCACCCTGCACTGCCACCGTCCGGCCGTTTATATACAATGGCCGGACGGGAGGTGATTAATAAAGGACTTGTCAAGGATTGTCTCCTGGTTTTTTTACTACACTTTTTTTTATGAAGGGGTAGCGGTACCATGTACCCCATACTCATTCACATGGGGGGGTAGGATCCTGGGGCCCCCTTGTTAAAGGGGGCTTCCAGATTCCAATAAGCCCCTTGTCTGCAGACCCCCACAACCACTGGCCAGGAATGTGGGGAAGAGACCCTTGTCTCTATCAACATTATAAGGTGCTTTTGGGGGGGAGCTTGCCTCCATGTTGAGGGCATGTGGCCTGGTATGTTCAGGAGTGGAGATGTTCACTCGTCCCCCCATTTCCTGACCTGCCAGGCTGCATGCTTGGAAAAGGGTCTGGTATAGATTTTGGGGGGGTGGGCCCATGCCATTTTTAAAAACATTTTGGCATGGGGTTCCCCTCAAAATCCATACCAGACCCAAAAGACTGGTATGGATGGGAGGGGGGACCCCACACTGTTTTTTTTTTTTTTAAATTGTAATTGTCGGGCAATGCTGGAAATTTTTTTGATATTTAGGGAACCCCACTGAAAGCTGAAACGTTAAAGAATGTCTCACTACTAAAATACCACATGACTTAATATAACTGCGGTATTTTAGTAGCTCAGATGCTGTAAGATACCATTCAGTAAATTGTCCCTGTTCGAAGTTCGTGGTCGAACTTTCAGTAGGGTTAAATGTTTGACCGCAAATCAAACAGGGGGGGTGTTCGGCCCATCACTGCTGGTAATATCTATAAAGAAAGAAAAAACACTTTAACTTTGGTGCTGTGACCCCTCGTTGCATACCTCGCCAATGATACTTTGAACAATAGAGTTTTAGGTTGCCTCTGACTTCCAAAGCAGAAGTGAAATAAATCTGGAAGATCATAGCTGCAAGATGAAGTTTATAAGTCTCAGCCTGGGCTCACACTGATGCGGTGCGGAATTCACATCGCTTTCTGTGCGAATTCTGCATCGTATCACAATTGCACCCAGTTCACGCGAACCGCTGCGGGTGTGTATGTTAAGTTAACAACACCCCGATATCGGTCCCCAAAACGGGGTGCGATGTGTAGAATTGGATCGCATAGGTGTGAATACCCATGGGATCCGATTCTAGTGCGGACCAAAAAAAGGGTCCTGCACCTCTTTGGTGCGGATGTGGTGCGATTAGAGCCATACAAAATATATGGCTCAAATCGTACCGCAAAGAATTCACATTTGATTTGTACAGGAATGCGGTGTGGTTCCTGTGCAAATCACATGCGATATACCGCACCGAGCAAGTGTGAATCCAGGCTAAGGCAGAATACATATTTAGAAATTTCTCAGCAAAACAAAAGTCAGAGCTGTTTTTGTTCAAATGTTTTTCTTCTTAGCTATAAATAAAATCAAAGCCTTGGAAACAGGAACATTGAATGAAATGGCTGATTGCTCTACATGATGTGTTATTTTAACTAAACATAATTAATCATTGTTCAAAATGTATGTTGAAATGGTAGCCTTTTTGACAACTCTATCTGTTTCACTGACTTTCAGCAGTATGCATCTACATTTTTGTGTAGGATTGAAACAAATTTCAGCAATACAATCAGCTATATCTTAAAATAGTGGTGCACTGAAGATAAGGTTTTTTTCAAACTTAAGATTGACTTCAAGGAAAAGTACAGTGTATTTAAAGTGATTGCATATTTTGAGTTGTAATTGTAGTGCTTACTAATGTATGAGGTCGCTTACATTTTAAAAGTCTGCTCTTCCACACTTGTGTTATTATATTACATAATGGAATCTGTAAATTACCACTCAAGATAGCTCTGTATATGACCCATTCAACTTGCTTGATAAATAAGTGCTGAAATATCAGCCACATTGGAAGTGCATTGTTTTAAATGAGTCAGTCAATTCCTAGACTTAGGGCTGCATTAATGTGCGTTTTTTGTACTTTGGCCAGTTTGATGTGCATTGCATTAAGGCAGCCAACTCACTTTAAATGGGCCCTTAAAATGTAAAATCTAACAAACTCTAACTTCTCTTTTTGCTCCCCTTTTGTCTTTTAACCACTTTCCTCCTGAGGATTTACCCCCCTCCTGACCAGGCCGTTTTTTTGCTTTATGGGGCTGCGTTACTTTAAGTGACAATTGCGCGGTCATGCAACACTGCATCCAAATGAAATTTACGTCCTTTTTTTCCCACGAATAGAGCTTTTTTTCGGTGGTATTTGATTGCCTGTGTGTTTTTATTTTTATTTTTTGTACTATAGAAAAAAGACCAACAATTTTGAGAGAAAAACAATATTTGTGACTTTTTGCTATTAAACATGTCCAGTAAAAAAAAATGTAAATAAATATAATTTTGTCATAAATTTTAGGCCAAAATGTATTCTGCTACAAGACTTTGCCAAAAAAAATCCCAATACATGTAAATTAATTGGTATACGTGAAAGTTATAGCATTTACAAATGGAGGTACAGTATATATACTGGGCTTTTATTTTTATTTTTGTTTTTACTAGTAATGGCAGCGATCAGTGACTTATAGCGGGACTACGAGACTGCGGAGGGCATTCAGACACTGGGGGGAACTGACTTGGTGTCAATGACATCCCCAGTGACACCAATACAGTGATCAGTGTTAATAAAAAGCACTAACACTGTAATAATGACACTGGGTAAGAAGGGGTTAACATATGGGGTAATCAAAGGGTTCACATCTGTGCTATGCTGAATGTGTTTTTTTACTGTAGATGTGTACTGAGTTGCCATTCATAGTTACATATTTGATCAGGTTGAAAAAAGACACAAGTCGATCTGATTTAACAATAGGAAAAAAATAAATGAATAGAAAATAAAAAAACCTCCATGTACACAATCCTATATCCACAGTTGATCCAGAGTAAGGCAAAAACCTCTATGAAGCATGGCCCCGTTTGTTCAAGCAGGGGAAAAAAATCCTTCCTGATCCTCCAGGAGGCAATAAAATATTCCCTGGATGAATAATCCCTAGTATTATGTTAAATAAAATGTTAAAATCCAGTTTTATTTTGTGCATTTAGGAATGTATACAGCTCTTTTCTTAAAACAATCAACTGAGCTGTCCAGAAATCAGAAGTAGTTCTGAGGTAGTCTATTCCACCTTTTCACAGCTCTTACTTTGAACAAGCCTTGCCATATGTAAAGGTTAAATCTCTTTTCCTTTAGATACTAGTGTCCTGTACAATGACTAATATTATTATTATTATTATTCAGATTTTCTATCTCACCAACAGTTTATGCAGCACTTTACAATATGAAGGGGACAGTACAATTAAAATACAGTTCAATACAGAAAGAATATGAGGGCACTGCTCTTGGAGCTTACAATCTAAAGGAAGGGGAAGGTGGTACAAAAGGTGACAGCTGCAGGTGAAGATCTGATGAAGGTGACTGAAGTACAGTTCTTGGGTGGAGGTGGGGTAGGCTTCCCTGAATAAATGAGTTTTTAAGGATCGCCTAAAGGCGGACAGGGTGGGAGCTGTCCAGACATACTGGAGTAGGGAGATCCAGAGGATGGGAGAAGTTATGGAGAAGTCCTGCAGTGAGCATATTATATATAACTTGAAAGTGAATAACCCCCTACACCAAGTTCACTATATGAACTATTTATATAATTATACATGGTGATCATATTCCCCCTCAACCACCTCTAATCAAGAGAAAATAAATTAGTTCAGCTAATCGTTCCTCATAGCTGAGCTCCTCCATGCCTTCTAACATATTGGTTGCCCTTCTTTGCACTTTCTCCAGTTTTCTACTATCCTTTTCGATGCAACGAACTGAACTGCATATTCCAGGTGAGATCTTACTAATGATTTGTACAGGGATGTCTCTCTCTCTGGTATATAAACCTCTTTTATAACATGAAAGTATTTTCATAGCTTTAGAAACTGCAGCTTGGCGTTGCCTGCTATTATTAGGTCTAAGATCTACCAGAACCCCAGGTCTTTCTCCACCATTGAATTTCCCAGCTGTTCTTCTAGAATGTTTGATGCATGCATGCATGTTTTTAGACCCTAAGTGAATAACTCTACATTTATTAACATTGAACCACATTGAGCTACCAAGTAAATAACTCTACATTTATTACCATTGAACCACATTTGCCCAATTAATAGTACATTAGGGTCTTCTTGTAAGTTGGAGACATCCTGTAAGGACGTTATTCTACTATATTGCTTTATATCATTTATAAATATATTAAAAGTAAGGTTCCCAACACTGACCCTTGGGGTATCATTTTAGGCCATTCAGAGTATGAATCATTAAACACTACTTCTAAATATGTTTTTTTAGCCAGTGTTTTATCCATTTACAAACTGAATTTTCTAAGAGTATAGATTTCCACTTGCACATTAGCCTATGTTTTTGCTTACTTCCTCATAAAAAACAATCAGTTTTGTTTGATAAGTTTCATGAATCCACATTTGCTAGCAAAAACTATTCTATATGGTCTTTAATCAAACTCTCAAGTATCTTCCAACTGTAACGCTAACCCCCGAAGGAGCCGCTGGAATTAACGGGCACTTCTGTCCTTACTTCAGTGATGAACCATATATATTGGATCCACAGCACACCAGTACAACTTGTGGGAAGTTTTATAACAGGTTTAGTAAGACAGGTAAATCTCTGCAAATAGACTACAAATTAACTTGGAAAATAGCAGTTAAATGCACTGAATACACAAACCTTCTAGCATTGGCACTAGAGATGAGCGAATTATTCAAAAATTCGGTTCGGCTGATTCGCCGAATTCGCCGATTAAATTCGCTTCGTGCCGAATATATTCGCTGCGAATTTAACTTATAAAAAGGGTGTTTCTAGGCTTCAGAGAGCCTTTATATTAGTGCAGAACACTGTACCTTTAATTTAAATGCCCTTGGAGTCTGCTGGGGAAGAGAAATAATACTGTCAGTCAGTATGACATGCAGATGAGTGCCGTCGATCTTAGAATCACCGCACACTTCACTCATTTGGGCAGTCACGGGGCCAAAACCAGAGTGTGGAGCCACAGTGTGGCGGTGGAGGCAGCAGCAATGGGAGGCCATACAGCACCCTATGACAAAATGGAACCCACCAGCAGTGTGAGGAGACCTGAAAGTGGCACATGGCAGAGTGTGGAGATGGAGACAGCAGCAATGGGAGGCCATACAGGGACCCATGACACACTCTGGACCTGGCAGCAGCATGAGGAGGCGGTACAGGGGCCCATGACAGATTACGGGCCTGGTAGCAGCATGAGGAGTCGGTACGGGGGCCCATGGCAGATTACGGGCCTGGCAGCAGCATGAGGAGGCGGTACAGGGGCCCATGGCAGAGTGGCGGAGCGTAAGCAGCTAAAATTGAAGGCCATACAGAGGCCTATGTTAAAAAGTCCCCCCAGCAGCAGCGTGGGGAGACGACTATCAAGAGTCCAATGGCAGAGTGGCGGAGCAGAAGCAGCTTCAATTGAAGGCCATACACAGGCCTAGGTTAAAAAGCGGAAGCCGTCAGCAGCGTGAGCAGACGACAGAGACACATGGCGCAGGGTGGCGGTGGATGCAGCAGTATTCGGAAGCCAAACACAGGCCTCGGTTAAAAAGCGGAAGCCGTAAGCAGCGTGAGCAGACGACAGAGGCACATGGCGCAGGGTGGCGGTGGAGGCAGCAGCAATGGAAGGCCATACAGCACCCTATCGCAAAATGGAACCCACCAACAGTGTAAGGAGACCTGAAAGTGGCACATGGCGCAGGGTGGCGGTGGAGGCAGCAGTATTCGGAAGACATACACAGGACTAGTTTAAAAAGCGGAAGCCATCAGCAGCGTGAGCAGACGACAGAGGCACATGGCGCAGGGTGGCGGTGGAGGCAGCAGTATTCAGAAGCCATACACAGGCCTAGGTTAAAAAGCGGAAGCCGTCAGCAGCGTGAGCAGACGACAGAGGCACATGGTGCAGGGGTGGCGGTGGAGGCAGCAGTATTCGGAAGCCATACACAGGCCTAGGTTAAAAAGCGGAAGCCGTCAGCAGCGTGAGCAGACGACAGAGACACATGGCGCAGAGTGGCGGTGGATGCAGCAGTATTCGAAGTCAAACACAGGCCTCGGTTAAAAAGCGGAAGCCGTCAGCTGCGTGAGCAGACGACAGAGGCACATGGCGCAGGGTGGCGGAGGAGGCAGCAGCAATGGAAGGCCATACAGCACCCTATCACAAAATGGAACCCACCCAACAGTGTAAGGAGACCTGAAAGTGGCACATGGCGCAGGGTGGCGGTGGAGGCAGCAGTATTCGGAAGACATACACAGGACTAGTTTAAAAAGCGGAAGCCGTCAGCAGCGTGAGCAGACGACAGAGGCACATGGCGCAGGGTGGCGGTGGAGGCAGCAGTATTCGGAAGCCATACACAGGCCTAGGTTTAAAAAGCGGAAGCCGTCAGCAGCGTGAGCAGACGACAGAGACACATGGCGCAGGGTGGCGGTGGAGGCAGCAGCAATGGAAGGCCATACAGCACCCTAGCACAAAATGGAACCCACCAACAGTGTAAGGAGACCTGAAAGTGGCACATGGCGCAGGGGTGGCGGTGGAGGCAGCAGTATTCGGAAGACATACACAGGACTAGTTTAAAAAGCGGAAGCCGTCAGCAGCGTGAGCAGACGACAGAGGCACATGGCGCAGGGTGGCGGTGGAGGCAGCAGCAATGGAAGGCCATACAGCACCCTATCACAAAATGGAACCCACCAACAGTGTAAGGAGACCTGAAAGTGGCACATGGCGCAGGGTGGCGGTGGAGGCAGCAGTATTCGGAAGACATACACAGGACTAGTTTAAAAAGCGGAAGCCGTCAGCAGCGTGAGCAGACGACAGAGGCACATGGCGCAGGGTGGCGGTGGAGGCAGCAGTATTCGGAAGCCATACACAGGCCTAGGTTAAAAAGCGGAAGCCGTCAGCAGCGTGAGCAGACGACAGAGACACATGGCGCAGGGTGGCGGTGGATGCAGCAGTATTCGGAAGCCAAACACAGGCCTCGGTTAAAAAGCGGAAGCCGTCAGCAGCGTGAGCAGACGACAGAGGCACATGGCGCAGGGTGGCGGTGGAGGCAGCAGCAATGGAAGGCCATACAGCACCCTATCACAAAATGGAACCCACCAACAGTGTAAGGAGACCTGAAAGTGGCACATGGCGCAGGGTGGCGGTGGAGGCAGCAGTATTCGGAAGACATACACAGGACTAGTTTTAAAAAGCGGAAGCCGTCAGCAGCGTGAGCAGACGACAGAGGCACATGGCGCAGGGTGGCGGTGGAGGCAGCAGCAATGGAAGGCCATACAGCACCCTATCACAAAATGGAACCCACCAACAGTGTAAGGAGTCCTGAAAGTGGCACATGGCGCAGGGTGGCGGTGGAGGCAGCAGTATTCGGAAGCCATACACAGGCCTAGGTTAAAAAGCGGAAGCCGTCAGCAGCGTGAGCAGACGACAGAGGCACATGGCGCAGGGTGGCGGTGGAGGCAGCAGTATTCGGAAGCCATACACAGGCCTAGGTTTCAGCGCCGTGAAAAACTGGAACCCAGCAGCGTGAGCAGACGACCAGCCTGACCAGCCATTGTTAACAGCATTTGTTCCAGGACATGCAACAGAGGAATGACGTCGTTCATCCCATAGTCCTGCCGACTCACGAATAGCGTGCCCTCCTCAAAGGGCCTGAGCAAGCGGCAGGTGTCACGCATGAGCTGCCAATGGCTGACATCTAAGTTACACAGGGGAGTACCTTTGTCCGCTTGTAACATCAGGAAATCGGTGATGGCCTTTCGCCTTTCCGTTGTCGGTCAACATGGTTCCGATTTTCAGTTTGCGCGGAGACAGCCATCTGTCGATTTCTCTGTTCATTACACTGAGAAGTTCCTCCCCTGTGTGTGACTACGTTCGCCAAGGCATACCAGGTGCAGCACAGCGTGACACCGTTGCGCCCTGCACATGTGATATGCCGGTCGGGTAATGGGACTTGGCTGAGCGGGGTGGCGGCTGAGGACACGGCGGAAGAAGAGGTGGTAGAGGCGGACATCTTTGCTGGACCAAGGACGTGCAAACGTGGAGGCAAAAGCGGCGTGACCTGTCCAAGTTGCTGGTGCGGCTGTGCCGGCACCACGTTCACCCAGTGGGCCGTAAATGACATGTACTGTCCCTGACCGTAGTTACAGCTCCACACGTCGGCGCTGCCGTGCACTTTGGCAGAGACCGACATGCTCAAAGACTGGCCCACCATCTCTTCTACATGTGAATGCAGGGGCTGGCACTGCCTTTTTGGCGAAGAAATGCCGGCTTGGCACTCTCCACCGCGGCTCGGCACAAGCCATCATTTCTCGGAAAGGTGCTGAGTCCACCACTTGGAAAGGGAGGGACTGCAGCACCAGCAACTTAGACAGGAGGACGTTCAGCTTCTGCACCGTCGGGTGCGTGCTCGCAAACTGTTGTCTCTTGGAAACGGATTCCAAGAAAGACTGCTGACGGAATCCGTGAAGAGGAGTAGCAGGAGAAGGAGCATCTGAACGAGCGGAAGATGCCAACGAGCGACAACTCCCCTCAGCAGAGGTGTTGGAGCCTTGACTGGCTGATAGAGGGCGATTGACGTCGGGTGACGGAGCAAGTAACGGAGCGGGTGATGGAGCGGGGGGCTGGGGCAGGCAGAACCGCCGTATCTTTATCACGGTTTTCCCAGGCCCCCGAATGGCGACGCTGCATATGCTGACGCAACGCTGTAGTCCCAACATTGGCCCCCTGGGCCACGCTTGACGTTCTGGCCACAGTAGTCGACATACGGCTACGTTTACTTCCTCGGGCGGCGTGACGAAAAAATTGCCACACCGCCGAGTAGGAAACTTCCCCCCCCGCTACTCTATTCCCTCACTGGCCTGACTGCCACTTCCTCCATGCACACCGGCACCACTACTGGCCGTGGTGGTAGGCTGCAGTGGAGCTGGTGCTCTACTCCGTGGCCGTTTGGCTCCACTGACACTGCTGCGACCCTGCTGCCTCCTGGGCAACCCCCGACTGTTTTGCTCGCTGGCAAGCTGGCACCCTCTTCTCCTGATGATGCGGAAGCAATAGCCTGACTGACTCACGAGGCTGCCAAGTGCGATCAGCCTCTCCATCATCAATTAGGGTCTCCGCACCACTACTAGCCCCCTCGGCTGCGTGTGGGTCAGGAGACAGACCTGTCTCTAGACCGGCTACCGAGCTCTCCTCGCCAGTACTCTTCGCCTGGCTGTGAAGAGGCTGATGTCTCCCCCCTTCCTGACCGCCCTCGTTTGGCTCCACTGAACTGAGGCTGTAGCTCCCCATGCTGCGACCCCTGCTTGTTCCTGGGCAACCGCCCGTAACTGAGGGTTAGCTTTTTCCTCGCTGGCAAGTGGGGAAAAGTTAAAAAAAATTGTTGAGGCACCCTCTGCGATACTTCATGCTTGGTGAGGGAACAACCAAAGGACAGGGGCAGGAAGACACGTAGCCAGTGGGATGACTCCCGAGGCCATGCCAACTAACGGTTGCGTCTGACGTACCTCACGACCGTTGGCTGTAGGTGTCAGGTGACCTGGTCAAGAGGAAGCCCGAGTCAACGGCAATCGATGCGGCAGGGTTGTCGGTGGAGACACGACCTGCTGGATGACACCGGGAGCGGCTCTGGCTGCGACTAGTGCTGCCACTCCCCTGTTTCCTCTGCTGCCACGTCTGCTCGCTTCTTCCTCTGGTGTTGCTGACATACTCTTTAATGCTGATGCACCCCCCCCCGTTCCTGATAGTGGTTGTGAAGCGAAAGTCCTCTGCACAATCGGTCAATTGCTCTTCCTGTAAACTGTACGTTTATGTCACTGGAATGCACAAATCACCCAAAAAAAATTAACGTGTAAATGGGAACCGGGGTCAGTTTATTTAGCACAACTGAGCCCACAGCATGAACGTTACACTTCGCTTGGTGAGGGAACACCAAAGGACAGGGTAAAGGTCGAAGCACAAACGGTCAATTTCAGTGGGCTTGCTCCCGTTGGGCCTGTGCCAACTAACGTTTGTGTCACTGGACGTAACCCACACTAACCGTTCACCTGTAGGTGTCAGAGGTGACCTGGGAAGAGGAAAGCCACCCGACCGAGTCAACCAATCGATGATCGGCAACTTGTCGGTGGAGACACGACCGCTGGATGTGACACCGGGAGCACTGGCCTATTGGCTGCGACAATGCGGTCAATTGACCCCTTCCTCTGGCTGGAAACTGTACGTTCTGCTGTCCTGAAACATTGCCTCCTCTGCCACCCTCTGCGTGTTGTCTACATACTCTTTTAATTCAATAAGCTTTGAACGTACCAAAAAGTCAGTTTATTGTACACAATCGGTCACTGTTGCAGCTTGATTGGCTGGAAACTGTACGTTTCTGTTTGGAACTAATCACCCAAAAAATATTACCGCCCTTAACCGGCGTGTAAATGGATCTAACTCTTTGAACGTACAATAGTGGTTGTGAAGCAGAAAGTCAGTTTATTTAGCACAATCGGTCAATTGCAGCTTGCCGTTGGCTGTAAACTGTACGTTTATGTCACTGGAATGCACTAATCACCCAAAAAATATTACCGCCACCCGGCGTGTAAATGGATCTAACTCTTTGAACGTACAATAGTGGTTGTGAAGCAGAAAGTCAGTTTTATTTAGCACAATCGGTCAATTGCAGCTTGCCGTTGGCTGGAAAACTGTACGTTTATGTCACTGGAATGCACTAATCACCCAAAAAATATTACCGCCACCCGGCGTGTAAATGGATCTAACTCTTTGAACGTACAATGGTGGTTGTGAAGCAGAAAGTCAGTTTATTGTACACAATCGGTCAATTGCAGCTTGCCGTTGGCTGGAAACTGTACGTTTATGTCACTGGAATGCACTAATCACCCAAAAAATATTACCCCCACCCGGCGTGTAAATGGATCTAACTCTTTGAACGTACAATGGTGGTTGTGAAGCAGAAAGTCAGTTTATTTGTACACAATCGGTCAATTGCAGCTTGCGTTGGCTGGAAACTGTACGTTTATGTCACTGGAATGCACTAATCACCCAAAAAATATTACCGCCAACCCGGCGTGTAAATGGATTTAACTCTTTGAACGTACAATAGTGGTTGTGAAGCAGAAAGTCAGTTTATTTAGCACAATCGGTCAATTGCAGCTTGCCGTTGGCTGGAAACTGTACGTTTATGTCACTGGAATGCACTAATCACCCAAAAAATATTACCGCCACCTGGCGTGTAAATGGATCTAACTCTTTGAACGTACAATGGTGTTGTGAAGCAGAAAGTCAGTTTATTTAGCACAATCGGTCAATTGCAGCTTGCCGTTGGCTGGAAACTGTACGTTTTATGTCACTGGAATGCACTAATCACCCAAAAAAAATATTACCGCCACCCGGCGTGTAAATGGATCTAACTCTTTGAACGTACAATAGTGGTTGTGAAGCAGAAAGTCAGTTTATTGTACACAATCGGTCAATTGCAGCTTGCCGTTGGCTGGAAACTGTACGTTTATGTCACTGGAATGCACTAATCACCCAAAAAATATTACCGCCACCCGGCGTGTAAATGGATTTAACTCTTTGAACGTACAATAGTGGTTGTGAAGCAGAAAGTCAGTTTATTTAGCACAATCGGTCAATTGCAGCTTGCCGTTGGCTGGAAAACTGTACGTTTTAATGTCACTGGAATGCACTAATCACCCAAAAAAATATTACCGCCACCCGGCGTGTATATGGATTTAACTCTTTGAACGTACAATAGTGGTTGTGAAGCAGAAAGTCAGTTTATTTAGCACAATCGGTCAATTGCAGCTTGCCGTTGGCTGGAAACTGTACGTTTATGTCACTGGATGCACTAATCACCCAAAAAAATATTACCGCCCACCGGCGTGTAAATGGATCTAACTCTTTGAACGTACAATAGTGGTTGTGAAGCAGAAAGTCAGTTTATTGTACACACAATCGGTCAATTGCAGCTTGCCGTTGGCTGGAAACTGTACGTTTATGTCACTGGAATGCACTAATCACCCAAAAAATATTACCGCCACCCGGCGTGTAAATGGATTTAACTCTTTGAACGTACAATAGTGGTTGTGAAGCAGAAAGTCAGTTTATTTAGCACAATCGGTCAATTGCAGCTTGCCGTTGGCTGGAAAAACTGTACGTTTATGTCACTGGAATGCACTAATCACCCAAAAAATATTACCGCCACCCGGCGTGTAAATGGATCTAACTCTTTGAACGTACAATAGTGGTTGTGAAGCAGAAAGTCAGTTTATTTAGCACAATCGGTCAATTGCAGCTTGCCGTTGGCTGGAAACTGTACGTTTATGTCACTGGAATGCACTAATCACCCAAAAAATATATTACCGCCAGCCGGCGTGTAAATGGATCTAACTCTTTGAACGTACAATGGTGGTTGTGA